GCAAGAAGTATGAACGATCAAAGTTAAAGGCACTGTTCGCGATGATTCAATGGGCGGGTGTGTCGATGACGTGTCCGCCTCGCATTCGACGCCACGTCAGACTGTCTGACGTGACATCGAATGAGAGGCGGACACGTCATCGACACACCCGCCCATTGAATCATCGCGAACGGTGCCTTTAATCTCCCATGGTACCAACGTCATGGATATGGCATATAAATTTCTACCAAAAGACTAGCCCCAATGTTGTAAAGGCAAGTCATTGAAACGATGATTTGCCCTGAGAAAAAGCTGTACCAGTTTACAACAAATCAGGTTTTCTTGGTACTGCCTCTTTGAAGGTACTGAAAAAAAGTTGATGGGGAAGGAGAAGTCATCAGTCCAAAGGCTACGTCGAGGCACCATTTGGTAATATAAAACATTCGTCGAAATCATAAAATTAATGTGACGAAAAGGGCGCAATAAAAGTTGGTTCCGTTCGGCGAACACTTATTAATCAACTCTCGAGCGTCGCATTTGCTCAAGACAGTATTCTCTATTTAAATGTCCGCCTTCAACCTTCACAGTATGTTCTTTGACATCTATCAGCCAGCAACAGCAACACATGTTCAAGTCCTTCCCATCTAAATCTTCATTTAAGCTCAGCAATTGACTCTTCTGTAACTTACTCAGTAGGACAACTGTGAATTGAGGGTAGCCTCAATTTTATAGTTTTTTATGACCGTTCTCACATTCTTTGTTTCAGAAATGAGACGAGATCTTGCTTTATCCGTTCTTGTTCTTCTATTAATAACGATATGTCTAGCCCAGCGTGGTGGCGGTGGTGGATACGGCGGAATCAACCCTGAAGGTAATACTCAGCGTTTTGAAAAAAAAGATTCATAATTGATTAATACTCCAGTTATTATGATGGATGTAATGGATGGAGCTATTAACGGTGCGGTTCAAGGTGCGATTCGGGGTGCGGAGCAAGCAGTGTCGAGGTACCAGAGGGGTTAATAGAACGCCAAAGGTTCAAGTGGCCACAATAATAAATTATTGTAACATAATTGAATAAAGATATCATCCTTTGACGTGGTTTTGGCTGTTTTCATATGTGATAGCCTGTAGAGTTAGATTTTTGTCATCTTCCTGCCATTGAGTTATCACTGGTTATAGTCGACAGCAGCGAGACGACAGCAGCGACTTTTCTGATTACAAATACCGTGGCATTCGTTACGGCCAATTCGATAACCACCGGTAGGAGACGAAGAAAACATCAGCCTCCTGAAGCTTTCCAACATCCTCAAACTTAATGCAGGTCAGATGAAAGCCTTTGAGGCCTTGAGCATCAACTTGAACTAGTTCCTGAAGATCCAGACAAGAATCATTCCCGTTCACTCAGACAAAGATCCAGAAGAAAGAAGAAGGAGCGCACATTGTCAGAAAGCTGAGGATAGCTGAAGCAATCACCAGATCCCGTTGAAGTGCACTTCAGCACAGGAAACCGATATGCAAGAATACCATAAGAAATGATGTGGACCAAGAAAAGTGTGAAACTGGTCTTGCAGAGAGAGAGAGAGATCGAAGAGCTTAGTCCCACCAGGTCCTTTCGAACTTTTACTCNGGATATTCTCAAGAATATCGTATGTCAAACGAGTACGAGAAGAGTTGAGCAGATGAAGGAAACCACGTCATCAAGAGGGGACATAAAAGTATAAAGCACGAAAACTGAGTCAGATGTGGGCCACCTTACCACTGTAGTATTTGTCACCGATCGGTAGTCCAGTTGACGTAATTGTAGGCTGGAAGCCTCGAACAATAAGCTCACGCTTAGTGGGATGGCTACATTGTCAAAAATTTAAATCTTGAGTGATTTTCACAAAGTGGCACTCGCTCATAGGTTAGAAATGTCATTTTCCAGATTCTGTGGCTGCTGGCGCCCATCTGCTTGCAGGCCAGTAAGATGTCCTACATGCTTTTCCAAGTTGCTCATAGCAGCCCTTCCTGGCAATTCTACATTTTATCCTTTACGGGGTAATATTCCATTTTCTGACGGGCGCATTGGGCTGTCAGCTCGGAAAAGAAGCAGCCGAAGGTATGTACCGTTCATGCTTGGCGAATATCTCCCGGCTAACAAAATCTCAGAGAAGAGTGGTGGGCTGGTGTCGATCAAGAATGGGATTGAAATAATTTTAGGAACATTTGAACCGATGCCTACCAGACACTCTCCTCTTTTTTACAAACATGATTGATACCCTTCAACAGTAATCAGCAACTGTTCTACGAATATGATGTCAGCGATAACGTTGCTCGATGTCAAAGTTGTCGACTGTGTTGCCTCAGGATGATGTCGGGATAAAAACGATTCATATCATTGATCGAATGCCACTGCAATGCAACGGTCAGGGGAGATAAATTCTGTCTTATGAATTTCTTTCGTGAGATGTGCTTAGGAACAAGATGACCATCACACTTTGAAAAAGCTCTAGAGACGGAATCAGTGCAAATCGCATAGCAGTCTGTGACTTTCAACGAAAAACAGCTGGTCTGGACATTCGTACCACACCGAATCAGCTGTTTTCCGTGGAAAAAGTCAAAAGCCACTCCATGAAATTGAGAAAGTGAACGGAAGACCTCCTAGACCACTTCAAAAGAACCAAAGGTAAAAGTACAGGCTCAAAGTTTACATTAGTGCGAAATTATGAGTATAGTAAGGCCCAAGCAAAAGTAATCATCACATGATTTCATGAAAGTGTTCGACTCTCATCGAATCGAAGTACTCCTACAGACCAACTGTTGCTGTCCGTTCCATCAAAATCTACGGGAACAGGTGACCAGTACTCACCTGACGGCACCAGGCTAAAAGTCATCATCCTACGTAATGATAAACGAAGTGCAAATGGGAAACAGTTGTGAAGCAAATTCGTCCTAATGAAAGCACGTCCTCGATCTTTATTGAATAATTTTTGCCTTTACCTGAATGGAATCACCAGAAATCCTTAAAATTTATCTTGATAATCCAAGCAAAATGAAAATTGAGCTCTACTATGCTATCTCAAAGTGAGGTCTCAGAAAAAAGAACAAGGGGAAATTATCATTTTTTGGTGAAGGGGCCCAAATTTACATTTTTGGGGCTGAGTATCGCAGTTACTTACTTGTTTGTTTATTTAAACCGCGCTCAGAGCCGTGTTATAATTGACCAGGCGGCTACGCACGCTCTCGCGCGCGCTAGGTGCTCTAGCCATGAGAGACGGAGCCGCATGAGCTGATTTTCATTATAGACCTTTATCGGATTTATGAGTTTCCGCTCAAACCTCGCCTCCTGTGGGCGGAGTCTGGTCCTGCCACCCACCATAAGTGTTCCCATCCTGTCGCCTGTACTCCTACCACGTTTGAACTATCTAGGTCCATGGGACAGGAGTTATGAGTTTTTGCACAAACCCCGCCCCTTGTGAGCGGAGTCTGGTTCTAACACCCACCATAAGTTTCCCCATCGCGGTTTCTGTACTCCTACCAAGTTTGAACT